TGATGCACTTAAGGGTCTATCTTTCATGTAGAAAGAAAACTTGAGAGAACATTGGAGAGGATACGAGCGAAAAACATGAATATTTGAAAACAATAGGGGAGCTTTTGCACACATCAGTTGCACCAGTTTATCTGGTGGCCGTCCAGGGGACTCACTCTGTGAGTCCCTGACTCTGGAGGCCAGGGGGACTGGCATTCCTAACTGGATCACAAAAATCAGAAAAACAGTTGTTTCCAGACTCCCATCCCCAGGGCACTGCACGGGCAGCAGACTGAATCACACTCCAGTCTTCGTGAATAGAAGAGGCCTGTTTGCTTGTCCAGGAGCGCTGGCCTGAGGGGCAGGCTTCTGGTCTGGCGTGTTCCTCCTAAAGGCCTAAGGAGGTGATCTCAGGGAACGGGGATTGCTGGGTGCAGTCTTTGCACTCTCCTCTGCCTCGCTCCAGCTTGCTGGTACCTCCCACAAAGGCGCTTACGCCCTTCGTCTGCCCTCTTGATTTTCGCAGCTGCGTGCAGGTCCAGGTCCAACCTTACATCACCTGGCTCAGTACGACAGTGGGGCTTCTGTTCAGAGGCCCCACAGGACTATAACCAAAGGAGGAAGAGTTCTTAAACAGCGACCACCTTCAGGGCACAGCAAGACATAACAGACCCAGAAGCTCAGTTTTCCAGTGAAATAGGCTTATACCCTTATCATCATCCCTGCAGCCTCAGGGGCAGGCTTCTAGCTGAACACACATCAGTGCGCTGACTGTAAATATTTCCAGATACCTTGGAAGGTGGGTACTCCCCTCACACCCTCCCTCTACTGTGCTCCAGCATGCCTCTATACCTTGGAGTGTGCACAATGATTGAAGTCATTTGCGTTACACCTGAAACTAAAATTATGTCATGTACCAGTTTCACCTCAACTTGTAAAGTGATGTGTGCTGGGCTGAATTTTCCCAAAAAACTCATGAGAGAATCTATTTCCTTTCCAATTTCCAACTGTATTTCTGCATACCTTGGCTCCTGGTCCTCTTTCCATCTTCAAAATCTCTCTAACACCAAATCTTTTCGTGTCCCTCATCAGCAGGTAGAGGACTGCTGTGGTTACTTTAGTGCCACTTAGATAATCATGGCTAATATTCTTATCTAAAAGTCAGCTGATTAGCAACCCTGTTCAAGCTGCTATCTTAACCCTCCCTGGTTTCAAATAAAAGTAACATATTCTGGTGGTTGAGGTTCGTATGTTGGAGGACCTATTCTGTCTGTTACAAAAATCTTTCTCAGGTATGTTTGATTTTGTGTCATTCAAGGACTGTCATACAAAGAACTAAACACAGGATTTACCGGAGCCTCTGGAATTAACGAATATGCTCGTCCTTGAAACTTCTATGCAAAGGAGGTGTTTGGTGCAGAAGACCTTAACCACCTGCCCCTAACTCTATCACAGGATCCAGCCTTGCTGCTCACAGTGGTCCACAGACAAGGACCTGCAGCATCCATATCACCCAGGGGCTTGTTAGAAATACAGAACCTCTCGGCTCACCAAGAACCGCTGATTCAGACTCTGCATTTGTGGTAGGATTTTTGTTGAGCCACAGAGACACTGAAGTGGAAGAAATGTTGGTGTGGAATAGGTTTCCTCGCCCTTTACTGTCGACATTTGGGCAGATAATTGTTGTGGGTGTTTTCCTGCGGATTATAGGCGGCATCGCTTTAGATACGCCAGGCATTCTTGGGGGAAAAAAACATTTCTGTTTCAAAACCAGTGGCTTCCATTTTGAGAACTAGAAGCATCTTGAGAGAATGCAATCAAAGCCCATCGTGTTCTCAGGTACTAACTTTGGGTAAATCACTAGACCTCTTGAAGCCCCATTCCTACAATGGATAATGGAGTTCCTGAAGGTACTTCCTCATGGATAAGACGTTTATAAAAAGTAAAACAAATGAGCCCTATGAGGTGTGAAGCCCATGTTTTGGTACAAAAAACACCTAAATATATCTCTTGATAAATGTAAACAAACATTTAATAATGAAGGACTAAATGACAGCTCTAAACCAGAGACATAAGTATAAAATTCCTAATTTCTTATTTGTTATGGCAAAAGTTTCACGCTGACAATGCATGCGGTGCCCAAGATTTATTATCAAAAGAACTCAATTCTCTTGTTTAAAAAGAAGAATAAAAATTGCCTAGACGTGCAGGGCCTGTGTCCCCACCACAAGTCAATACTTTGAAGATACAAGAGACCTAATCCAGACAGGTTCCTCAGTCTTAGACTTGGGGAAAACTCTACTTCAGAGTTGAGACTGGGTGATAGGAGATGTAGAGACCTGAAGGGGAGGCAATTTCGTGGGGAAGGAGTAAAATGAGTAAAGACCTGGATTCATTTTACCTTACCCTGGTCTCTTGTGAGCAGAGAATCATTAGGAAAAATTTTCTTCTTTCCAGAAGAGTTTCCCACAAGGGAGTTATGTCTTAGAGGTTGAAAACACAAGAAAGAAATGTGCCTAATGAGCAGATGTAAGGAGCTATAAATATCTCTACGTCTACAGTCTCTCAGCCGGTGTAAACTTGGGCTGGAAGGGGCACAGATCTGATTTTTCGTTGGTTGGTTGGTTCTCCTAATTCTGGCTAGGGGACTGATGTTTCATCCTTTCCTGCTGTCTTGTCTGAGATCAGAGCCTTAGTCTCCATCATCAGCCATCCAGGGAAGAATCCAGACTCCCCTCTCAGAGACCTTCCTCTCCGAGTTCCCATCCAGGGAAGTCCAGTAACCCACTTGACTGCGTGAGAAGGTCAGAGAGGAAGGAAGCCAAGAACATTTACCTATCATTACCTGAGGGCCAGTTCATCTCAGCCCAGAGGCAAGAGTTTGTTGTTTGTTCATCTGCTTGATTAATTAACCGTTTTTATTTCAGTGGTTGCATATTTTACAGTGTCATAACTGTGCTATTCTCACTTTTGATTGTCTTTCCTATTATTTA